TGAACTGCTTATATATTACGCTGATTATGGAGGGAAAACTCAATGCATTGTGATAGTGTGGAGAAGTTTTTCCAAAAACTTCTTTGTTTGAAGTTGCGTTAGAAAATTTTGGTTTGAAGGCTTATGTTAGAATTTTTAATGCGCTTTATGGTTGGGTCACTAGAAATCATACAATTCTTCATATTGAATTTGTTGTCTTTGCCTTGATGAGAAGTTTTAACTCTCAACACATGCAGGGAAAAGTCTGTTAAACACAATTAATTTCAAAATGCAAACAAAAATAATTTTTTTTTTCTTTTTCTGAAAGCACTTTAAATCATTGAGGAGGTTGCAATCCATATGGGGGTATCGGGATGTATTTAAAGGGTTATTTACCGTTAAGCAAGTAGAAAGATATGTGTCAAAGCACTTTAAAAGTTTAAACGGTATGTAAAAAATTATAAATGTAATGAGCTCAAACTAATTGAGAATAGACTCGGATTATACGTAAATCACAGGTTTGTCAATGGTATTGGTTAAAAAGCGTATAAAAGGTTTGAACATCTTTATCACGAAAAGTTCAGACATTCAAATTTATCAACTTTGTGATCAGTTTTTATAACATTGTTTACACCAATATTGACCGTGAACAACCTAAATCTTTCCATTGCCATTGTTTTGTGCCATTTCGAGGTACCAATTTACAGTAAATGAACTCCTTACCCAACAGAAAAAAATTAACTTCTTGATTGACTTGATCATGAATTCATACTATAATGTTAATTAAAGTAGCAAAAGTGTGATATTATCTCAATATTTAAATGTTTTCCCAAGTCAATTTTAAATGAAGAAAATGTTATGTATTATTACTATTATGTATGCATAAGAACGACAAAAAGAAATACCTAAAGCAAAAACATCAACAAAACCTAAAGCAAAAACAAATGCCGTCACAAAGAGATTTCCAGAAACAGTTGCTCCAACACAGTCAACAATACCTAAACCAAAAACAAACGGCGTCACAAAGAGAAATCCAGAAACAGCTACTCCAACACCCATATCTTAGGCATATTATATTTTTTATGAAAAAGAGAAGAAAGTTGAATTAGTTCAGTATGTTACCTTGTTCAAAGACAGCTACTGATTGGACCAAAGTTTAATTCTAAAGTCTATCACCTAAAGACCGTAGTGTTTAAAAAAAAACTATTATGAATGCTTTTGATTGCTTAAGATGCAAAGTGAGATAAGTAAGAAAATGTAAAACATCCGACAAAAGACTAGTTCTATCGGAAAAAGTCAATTTCAAAAAAAGTAAACTTAACTAGCAAAAGTGTGAACATATCGTAAATAAAAGATATTTCTTTTTATTTATACTAGATGTTGTTATTAAATGGTACGGTATTACAAAAGTGAGGCTTGATAACGCACAGGAAGTATCACATGCTATTTTTACAACAAAGTTTAGCCACAAAATATCTTTTATGTCTTCAAAACAGCAAAATAAATGGTTCATTTCATATATTGGTTTCAATCATACATTTCCAAAAATTATCAATAACAAAAATAGTTGTATCAAAATCTATAAATCACTTGACTGCATACAGACTGCAGACACAATAAGTATTAAAATTGTCGTTTTCCGGCTTTGGCGCGTCTCGTTTAGCTCAGTTAAAATATTAATAATTAAGTTAGGTGTGTTAAACGTCTTTTAAAATCTTATCCCGTTTTCGTATAAATATTTAAAATACTTTCTTTTTTTTTTTGATGAGCTAGACAAGATTAAATTTATGACTAAAAAAATACGTCTTTATTAAGTCATTCTATAGACTTTCACCTTAAATCCAGTTTACTTGCTTTTTTGCAAATTTACTGAACGTTTCATTTATGAATATTTATGTATGTCTAAATATCACTCGTGATATTTAGACATACATAAATATTCATAAATCACTAAAAAATTATTTTTATTTTTAATAACCAAAGTAACCTTATGGAAAAATAAAAATTAATGAAATAAAATAAAGCAGAATAAAGATATAATAAAAGATTTAATTAAGATATTTATAGTTATTTAAAAGATAATTATATTTATTTAATAGATATTTATATTTATTTAAAAGATATTTATACTTATTTAAAAGATATTTATATTTATTTAAAAGATATCTATATTTATTTATAAAGATATTTATATTTATTTAAAAGAAATTTATATTTATTTAAAAGATATTTCTATATATATTTATATATATATAAAATGTCATAAAATTTCCACAAATAACAAAGTTATATTATAAATATTTTATATAAGCTAAATAAGATTATTTAATAAGAAACTTCAACAAAACGTTTAAAATAAGTTTTTGTTAGAGTAGTGAAGTCTTGTGAAATGTTATCTAATAGCTGTGTGTAAATCTCAGTTTGACTGCAGTGCTACGTTAGCAGCAAGAAAAATGCTTAAGCATTTATTAAGTATTTGGCTATCAAAATAAAGTTAAATCTATATTTTATTCTTGCCAAAAAATTGATGTATTGGTACTTTTGAAAAATGGTTTTTGTTCAGTAAATAAACGTGTGTATTTAGGAAATATTAAAATAAAGAAAAGATGTTGGCGTCCAATTATTACTTATCTGTGGCCATCTTTTCCATGTAGCAAATATGCCGCTGACTCAAACTGTTGCAATGTGCACAAATAAGACGTGTTAATTGTTCGTCACAAACAAAACGTGTTAATTGTTCGTCACAAATAAGACGTGTTAGTTGTTCGTCAAGGTTTTGAAGTAATAGAGTAACAGCAATTTAAAAAAAAGTTTTTTAATGTCAAAAAGAAATATGCCTTTTTGATAAGGTTCCTTTAAAAGAGTTAACTTTTTTTTATAAACATAAGAGTAAGTTTATGTGGTTCATAAATATGCTTTTGTTTATTAAAGATTTTTTCAAAACGCTTTTTAAAAAAGCCTCTAGCCTCCCTTTAGGGTCAAAACGCCACCCTCTAGGGTAAAAACGCGTCCAAAAACTTTCTGAAGAAGTAAAAAATTTTTTTTTATTTAAACATTTAGAAGAGTATTTTTATGAGTATTTTTATCGAGACATCATCTCTAGCCTTTACTCAACCAAGATCCCCAAGGCAGGGGATTTTTAGGTCGGAGGTTATTTCTCCTAGCCTTTGCCTAAAAAAGCACACTCTACAAGGCAGCAGGGCGTGGGGAAGGTAGTACTGGGATACATAATACCAGTAGTAGGGTGATCGTAGTGATCCTGAACCTGACCTGGAGTAACTAAAGCCTACTTCCTGTAAATAGCACCTTTAAACATTGGACATAATATTTTAGAAATGCACTAAGAAAAATATTACACCCAACAAAATATTAGAGATAGGGGTCAGCGTAGGTTTACTAAATAATTAGTTAATGAGCTCACATTGCATCAAAAAAAATTTAAATATTTAAACAGTACATTTAAACATTTAAACAGAACATATACATACATAAAGTAACTTATGAGTGAGTAAACATCGCGCCAGAGGTTCAGACAGAACGTAAACATACACATAAACAGACAGAACATAAACATACAGATTGCAACATACGGGTGAGTCAACAACACGCTTAGAGAGTTTTGTTTACTTTCTTTGTAATGTCAACAATAGATATTAGGTGTTAAAGTTATTAATTTATATGCTCAATATTAATTAGCTACATTTGTCAGATACGCTGTATTATTCAATGCTAGTTACGCGGATTTGCACTATCCCCGACGATATATTTATGCAAAGTTAACGATAAATGCAAAATCTGGTAGTTTTGGACTATGAAATTAGATAACAAAAAATGTAACCGTGTTAATGTTTTACTAGTACTCAAGAAACATACCCATATTAGCAAAAAAATAAAAAGAAAGTTGTTTATCATATTGACGTGCTAAATTTGTCTCTTAAAAAAGCAGTTGCAAAACTTTATGTTTTGTATACATTTGAGGACCCAATAATCTCCAAAATAAATAAGAACTTCCAAAAAAAATTTAGAGGTGCTTTATGTTGCTTTTTTTTTTTTTTTTTTTGGGGGGGGGGGGCTATTTATATTAGGCGGGTTGGACCGGTTAGCTGCGCAGTGTAATTAAGGCACTTTTTAAAATATTATAGCGTCTGTATGATATTTTGTTGACTACGACATATTTCCGTTAAATAGTCTGATCAGTGAATTATAAAGAGACGAAAAATTTTAAAATCAAAATTAAAAATTTTAATTTTGCGGTATCATAAAATGTAGCGAAAAAAATTCAGACCAAAGATTCTTTTTTTTTTTTTTTAAATCATCTTAAAATCACAATCGCTCGTCCAAATTTGAATAAAATTTTATATTAATACACTTTTTAGGTGAAATGAATATTATTGTTTAACAATATGATCTGTTCTGATTGTTTATTGGCAATTTTCCATAATTATAAGCTCTTTCTTGGTCGGAATTCTGTTATTTTTTGTGAAAATTGATAGAAATATTGTGTTTTGACAACTATATATAGTTAATATAGAATCGGTCAGAACCGATTAGAATTAGGATCAGTAGTAAATTAAGGAGCTTTTTCAAAAGACTTTATCTAAATTTATGTTAATGCCGATAAGCGGATTTAATCTAAAGACTCCAAAAAAGTGTTCTTTAGATTCACTATTACGGGTAGTAAAATGGTTTTGAAAATTATATATAAAAACGAAAAGTTTCTTTAAATATTATAAAAACTTGAAGCAAAAAAAATTATATCATTTAAAGATCTTGTTTGGACATAATATGCAGACAAAACCATGTTAATTCCAAATAAAAGTATTCGAATATTTTGTAAATCGCCTTAACTACACCGAGAGTTAAAAGATATTTCTTTTAGATCATTGGATTTTTTTAGACTTGGCTTTACTGATATAGCTCATAAACATGTTTTTTCGGTAAGTGAGAAAAAAAAGTACTGGCCTCATGGCCCTGGTAAACACGCTTTAAAAATTTTAAATTTAACTAATATGTTAAAATAGCATATAAATCTATTTAATTATTAACTAAAATAGTTTATAAAAATAGAAAAGAATTGTCTTTTCTATTATTGATTATTTGACAGTGATTTGATAGTGGCATATCGCAATTATATGTCTTTTTGATAAAAAATTAAAAACGAGGAGGGTATAACTATTTCTATTACACATAACTTTTTTGATAATATTTTTGAGCAAATTTATCGAGCTAAATTTAATAGAAATGAGCATTGTTAAGCATGACAGTTGTACGTGCTAAAAGCTATGTAGCATATCACGAAGAAACTCTTCGTTTACTTTCAGCTAGGTATCCACAGTTTCACAAGGAGCATATGTATGTAAATTTTTATATGGTTACCTTAAATTTATTATAAAAGTTGTTTATTTATTTTTTTTAATTTTAGAAAAATTTAAAAATTCTTCAAATTAATTACATTTTTAATGGTAGTTTAAAATTAATTTAAAAACTAAAGAATCTTTTTAAATTTTTTTTTCTGAGTATGGTTTAAATATAACAAAGGATTATCATAAAATCTAATAAAACGTAATCTTACAGTAATTATAAATGCAGTTAAGTTTAAATAGTGATTTAAACGATATAGTTTTTTGTATCAAAGAAGTTCATATATATATATATATATATATATATATATATATATATATATATATATATATATATATATATATATATATATATATGTATATATATATATATATATATATATATATATATATATATATATATATATATATATATATATATATATATATACACACACATATATATATATATATATATATATATATATATATATATATATATATATATATATATATATATATATATATATATATATGTATATATTACTATTGTAATAAAAGATTTAATGCATCTTTCGCTCCTTTTATTTAATTTTGTTATATTTGATGCAGGTTATCTGCGGTACTTGAACTAGACTGAGCAATGAAAGCTCACGAAATGTGAAACATTTCTATTGAAAAACTTTTATATAAAGGGGGATAAGGAATAAAAAACAAAGAAAAACAAACAGGTTTTCAGAGTAAACTTGGAAAGGCCACAACCATTATTTCGCTGTCTGACCAGGATGACCGAATGACAGGCCTGATTGCTCTGAGAATTCATTAAGCATTACCAATAACTGTAGCTTGTATTTTTGTAAATTTGTATAAAAAATAGTAAATAAATTGAAAATTTTAAAATTTCTTTTATTAGATTTTAATATAGTTAATTTTTGAACTCAGTCATTTTTATAATTTTTTAGGAAAAACTTATTTTTATGTCTGCATTTAGAAATTAATTCCGATTTTTTTGTTTAATAAGTATTCTTGGTTTGCATATGTAATTATTTAAAAAAAAATTTTGTAGACATAATATACATTTAAAAAAAATATTATTATATGCAGGTGCTGTTTTAAGGATGGACCAATTCAATAAAAAATCATCAATATTTTTATCTTTCAATTCTTGTATGTATTTTGACAGCCTGGTGTCTTTTGAATACTTTTTATTTCTAATTCTATTTCGCTTTTTTGTATTCTTTTTTTTTTGGTGTCAAATTTAATAAAATGTGGATTTCAAAATTTTATCCTTTTTTAAAAAGCCACAAAAACACAACCTTATATACCAAAATGTTTTTTATTTTTTAATAAAAATAAAAACATTCTGAATGTTTTTATTTTTATTTTTTTACTGTTTAAATGCATCAACTATCAAATGGTAAGTGACCAGGGCCTGGAGCCCTGTCACTTACCATTTATAAGTCTCATATAGTCCAAAATAGGGCTTTTTACAGCCCTGCAAAACTATAAGATTTAGCAGGGGTTGGTAGGCGGGGCTAGGAAAAAAATTATAATGCATTACATATTATAAGTTTTTACCCTAATTTTATAAAGTAAAAATAAAAATTTGAATAATTTAAAAATTTATAGTGTATATACTTCAAAAAAAAATATAGATTACAAATATTTGTTAATAACATTAGGACATACTATGCAGTGTGTGATATCTTGCACATAACAAACAAGCATCAGGTAACCAAAAACACAAGCTGACTCAATACAATATATAAGTTGTAAACGTGTAAGATAACCATAGCGGGAATAAAATAAAGGGCCAGGAAAAGAAAATTTTTTATTATCATAGTTTGTTGTTACACGTTATTCATCTCAAAGTAATAAAATACTAACATTGTTAAATCTCTTAAATGAAAAATGAATTATAATTGTTAAAAAACAACATAAAAAACAAAATACAAAAATAAATACTGGAGAACTGAAGCCCTAATATGACACAATTTATAATGCTTTTTCAACTTCTTCAGTTGCTATCATCAGTTACAATCGCAAGTGCTGACAGATAGTTAGCAGGGAATCTAAAAGAATACTATTTTACAGGTAATATTTGATGTTATTAGACTTGAATAGCAAGACTACAATATCATTGTTTAAATTTTTGAGTCCGCTCAAATTATATGACATCATCAAATCCTAGTCATCTTGGCTGAGAGTTTGAAATCTATATAACTGAGAGTTTGATATATAACTAAGAGTTTGATATATAACTTTATAATTTCAAAAATACTCAATATCAATAATATTTTGATTCTATCTAATTAAACAATATTATAACTTCAAATTTTTTTTTTTTTTAATAATTTATACATATTAAAAAAAAATAAAAAAAAACTGTACTTTTGACTTAAATCACAATAACAAATTTGTTATTAAACTAATCACAATGAAAATCCACTTACAATCATAACCAAGCGTAGAATACATACAGTCATAATCATGATTTTTCAAACATAAATAAAGGAATTTTCAATATCTTGGACCAAAACATCTTTTTTAATTTCATTTTGCACTTAAGGTACATTTATGATTGTATAATAAATTTTTTTCACAGCAAATTTTAAAAAGTATATAACACCCTGTGGTAAATTAATTGAAAAACTCAATATAGATGATTTTTAAAAAAGTACTACAGTATGATTGGTGACTTAACATGAAAATATATGCTACCAAATACAATTTAATAAAATTATTACTGAAAATATATTGCATAAATAAAATACATCCTTTACCATGTATCTGAAAACCCCTGCAAGTGTATATTTCAAATTATGTCACATTACAATGTATATCCTTTTTAAAATATTTTTTTAAGTATTTATTTATAACATTTTATTGAAAACAATGCAAAGCAAACTAATCTTCTATCTTCACATCTACTTGTAAATAACATCATTTTCTAATCAGCTCAAATCCCAGTCATAGTTTGTTCACAGAAACCCAGCCTTTGCTTTCCGCTTATTTTATAAATAATATTAATAGTAGTAAAACTATTTCTTATTTTTAGAGAAAAAGCTTTGAGTGCAACAGGTTATAAAAAAATAGAAGATGTAAACCATTGGTAAGTTTTTTGGAATATTTATTTCAAGTTATAAATACATATATGTAAGTATATGTGTATATATGTACAACCCTCGGAATTAGGGTGTTTGAGGTCGGCTCAAGCACCCTAATTCCGAATACTGCCGACCTCGTTTCTATGTTTTATGGTAAGACCTTTGTATCGATTTTTTTTTACCTCAAGGTCGGCAAATTATTACCGACCTCATTTTTCCTAATTCTGAGGGTTGTATGTATATGTATGTATATATATATATATATATATATATATATATATATATATATATATATATATATATATATATATATATATATATATATATATATATATATATATATATATATATATATATATATATATTTCGGTGTTCTTGCACGCAGCGTAATAAAAATTGTTTTTGTTCCTCCTCAACTGTTATTAGGCCATGGAACTCTTGCATCATTTTGACTACTCTTTCAGCAGTATCGTTGCTGGCCTTCAGCATTGAAACCTTCTTTTTGGCATCCTGAAACAAAGCGTTATTTGAACATAAAGAAGGTTCTTCGTCCAAAAAACTGTGATCAATTTGCAGCCGGTTGAACAAAGTCTTACTTTTCACTGAAATGAAGTTGTAGATGTTTTTATCTGAAATAAAAAAAGAAATACAATTTACTTTAAAAGATAATAAGTAAATAAAGATAACAGTTCCTATATTTATTAATAAAACTTACCATACAAGGAACCACAGAGTTCCTTTTTGGGTTGTATATAGCGTTTACCATAGCTTGATATAATGTCACTGTTAAAGTTTTCAACCATTTTTTTTTTATCTCCTTGGTTGACATTGTTGTCAAATAATGATAAAGCAGCTACTTCATCACTTAAATACCATAGATGCTGGCTTAATTTCTACACAGCTGCTTTCGAGATATTTTTGTCAATTGTTTCGTAGGCTTTCATTGATTTTAAAAAGCATAAATCCTGATATGGTGTTTTTATAGCCAAAATGCATTGTAGCCACAGCTTTACGTAAGATGTTGCAATGAGTAAACAAACATCTAATAGTGCCTTCATATCCTTATTCAACATTTTTAAATGATCATTAAAAAGTGTCATCTTCAGGGCAAAAATTGCTTTCGCCATCCACCTGGTTTGGTGCATGGCACCTGGAGGTCTAATTTTAAATGTTCTATTTTTATCTCTGCCTAAAAATATGATTGAGAGCTGAATTATTTTGCAATAGTAATCTCGGACTATAGATTTCGTTAACTCTATAGATTTGTAAAATTTCATCAAGTTTTCTATTTCTGAAATAGTCAAATACAAATCGATTTTTTCTTTGAAGCTCTATATTTTACTAGAGTCAACACTTTTCCAGTTATCACGAAACTTTTTAAACAGTGGAATATCAGGGCTTGTTGTTACTTGGTTGATTTTTGCTTCAAATACAGCTTTTAATATTAACTCATATATATGATGGCGGCAAGCAAAAATGAGCAAATCTCATTGTAGACATTCTTCTTTTGATTTTCGGGCATCTAAAGTAGGCAACAGTTTTCCATCAAAGTGAACTGTCACAATCTCATTTTGAAAGTGGCATTACAGTGGCATCTCAGTGGCATAACATTGGCATCTCATTTTAAAAATCTATTTTTATAACTTCACAGTGCTCTTTCGTTTTTTGATGCAAATTCTTTGAATTGAGAACTTACTTATTGGAAATTCATCAGTATTGTATCCAAGTGCCTCAATAGTAGCTTCAAGAATATACACAGAATCTCTCATATTTAATTGACACCTGTCTAGCGCTGCTACTAATTTTGGAGTGATAATGTTTTTCCGCAAAAACAAATGTAAGTCTTCGTTCGAAAGCAGATGATGAATCTTTTTGTAATGTTTTATGAAATGATTACGAAGGAATTGACTCTGCAAAATAGTTAGATCTTCGTTTCTCTTCCTCAATAATTCTTAAGCGCGCCCTTTCCTATTTATCGGCCAGTTTTTTGTCTACACAGTTTCTGACAAACCCTTGTTGACGTTGTTTAAATACGTTGGTTTTGTGTGCATTTTTTTGCAAATCCCTCCAAACTTGATATAACTTTACAAGTTTCTTTACACAATTAGGAAACAATTTCCTAGATATACGCGTCTTTTCCCAATAAAAAACACACTCCTTAACAGTGAAATTTGCACTATTATTTACATTTAATTTCACTTCACGAATGTTATAAAATAGCATTGCTAAAACTTGTCCATTAGAAGGAAGCTTTGATCCCGTTATTTGATGTTTCGTGTCACCAATTAAAAATATATCATTTTTAAAACTGCGTAATTGTACAGACATGTTGACAGAGCAAAATCAATATGGGTACTGAATTCTACAGTAAAAGAAAAGCAAGTTATAACAAGCACATCGGTCGTTCGCGCGCGTCTGCCATAGTTAGCAAGTCTTGACAAGTTCCGATGCAAGTTATCGGCACAGGTTTTCGTTATCTTACCTAACCCAAATTTTGTTTACAATTGTTTTAACATCATTCTATTAAATTAAGAGGGTATGCGTTAAAAAAATTAAACTTTTTTTTTGGGACACCCTAATATATATATATATATATATATATATATATATATATATATATATATATATATATATATATATATATATATATATTTATATACATATATATATATATATATATATATATATATATATATATATATATATATATATATATATATATATATATATATATATATATATATATATATATATATATATATACATATATATATATATATATATATATATATATATATATATATATATATATATATATATATATATATATATATATATATATATATATATATATATGTATATATATATATATATATATATATATATATATATATATATATATATATGTATATATCAACCCTTATATCAACCCTTGGAATAAGGGTCAACATGTCTATACAATTACGCTAAATTAAAAGTATTTGAGTTCAGCAAGAGTTGACCTCGTTTCTATGTTTTATGGTAAGGCCTTTGTGTTTTTTTTTTCGGCCTAATGCCGACCTCTAAAAGACGGAGGTTGGTAAATTATTGCCAACCTCATTTTTCATAACACCAAGAGGTAATATATATATATATATATATATATATATATATATATATATATATATATATATATATATATATATATATATATATATATATATATATATATATATATATATATATGTATATATATATATATATATATATACATATATATACATACATATATATGCATATACATATACAAGACGGAGGTTGGTAAATTATTGCCAACCTCATTTTTCATAACACCAAGAGGTAATATATATATATATATATATATATATATATATATATATATATATATATATATATATATATATATATATATATATATATATATATATATATATATATATATATATATATATATGTATATATATATATATATACATATATATACATACATATATATGCATATACATATACAAGACGGAGGTTGGTAAATTATTGCCAACCTCATTTTTCATAACACCAAGAGGTAATATATATATATATATATATATATATATATATATATATATATATATATATATATATATATATATATATATATATATATATATATATATATATATATATATATATATATATATATGTATATATATATATATACATATATATACATACATATATATGCATATACATATACATATATAAATATATATCCTATAGTAAAGGTGTTAAGTATATCATTTGTAGTATATCTATATGTACTAGAGTATACATATACAGGCCTTGTTATGAGACTTTGTTGCATAATGGAAAAGTGTAACTCATATATACATCTTTAAAAGTTAAATTACATCAGTTTTGTATTTTAAAGTACTGCATTAAAGAGGTTTTTGTAAACCTCCATAATCTGAGGTTTTTACAAACTGTTTTACCAATCCTAGTTTGATATGAAGTGGAGGTAATAAGACTTTGTTAATATCTAGAGGCTGCTTGAGAACATAGAACAATCCTGGTTGAAGTTCCACTCATGGGGGCATTGAACTTTGTTGTAATGTTCATTACCAGCCCTGCTGTTCAATAAGCAAATGAAACATCAGGCTTGGTCAAGAAGGCGTGCAATCAGACGCAATTATATGACCATGAAAATAGTATTTTGTTTTGATAATTTGACCCTAAGGTTAATTTCAAAACGGTGCTGCATAAAAAAGATTCTGATTTATATCTTTGAAATAATAACATCAAAACTTTTATCTTCACTGATGTTTTTATAATAGCAAAACTCTTTTTAAAAAAATAATTTACTACAAATGATTTTCGTTTAAAATATTAATGAAAGTTGTATATAATTATTTTAGTTTGTGATATTTAAATTATATAAGTATGCATTTTTTATAATAAATGTTATCAAAAAAAATATTTCTTTTTTTTATAAATGACAACTTTTTTAGACAATGATTAAAGTTAATATACTTAAAAAAAAAAAAAAAAAAGTTTTATTGAATAAAAATGACAAATGTTTTTGAAAGCTGTTACAGTTAAAAAACTTTGATCTTTAATGCTTTTATATTATTAAAATGTTTTTAAAAGAACCAAACACTTCTAATGATTTTTTTTTAATAAAGTATTAATGAATATTATATATAGTTTTTTTATTTATATATTTATGTATTTTTTATGATAAATGTTAATCTTTAAAAACAAATTAATTTTTTTTTTTTTTATAAATGTAGGTTTAACCAAAGCATGAAATAGTTTTAAAAATACTTGAATTATTATTTTATTTGAAGAGTAATTATTTTCAAGCTTGTATTTACATAAAAACTACTTTTAAATTAGTATAAAAAATACTATAATTAAAGTTATAATTTAAGTGTGAGTATTTAAGTTATGTGTGAGTATTAAACATGAGAAGTAAGTTGTTTCTTTATTTTAAGGGTTTCCCATAATATTATATAAACATTAAAAATAA